TACCCGCCGAGAGCTATTTGCCTCCACGTTTGCACGACCTTGGTCCGGCCAAGATGTCCCGTCCTCTACCACCAATCTCTTCAATTTCCGAGCCCGTGTACCCTCATGATCCGCCACCGTTATACAATTGCCAAGTCCCCATTACCCGACCAAGCATATCACATGTGCACTTGGAGTCGCAAACGGTGTCACGATGTGCTGCACCTGGTAATGCCTTGTGGCGAACGTAGTCACACAGGGGAGGAACTTCTCAGTGTAATGAACAGCAGAAATCGACAGTGATGGACTGAATCTCCGCGCCAAAACTGAAAATCGAGAACCATATCGCACCGCAACAACAGAAAGCCCCTGCGTGTCTGAGCTCTGCGTACAAGTCAGGAATGTTTGTGGCCATGCCGCCATGCATGGCTTCCACGTGTTCGAATCCCTACAGGGTTGTCAAGCGCGGTTCCAAAATCCACCATCCCACTGCAAAGACATCACTTAAAATCGTCACGTAGAACTTTATGCATCAATTAGCAGCCATCTCCAATACACCAGCAAAGCACACCCCTCCTTGCAGACTTGCAGTCGAGCAGAACGGAATTCCACAGCATCGCCTGATCTGCGACGTTGCAACAAGGTGGAAATCAAACCCTACATCATGTATAGACCGCCTTTACCGACACAGCGAGCAAGCCATCACGCGTAGACATTCCTGAGATGTTACAAGCGGATAAAGGTAACTCCCCTAGTGTAACTTCGATGTCAGCCATTTGCACTCATGCCGTGGACACTCTGCCGGTGGCCCAGGCCCGTTTGTATGGAGGCCACGCGATTCCGTTGAGTCGGCAGGATCCTATGGGATAACGACGTCAATTCCGCTTTTGCACGTCCTGGAACAAATGCTGTGAACAAATGGCTGGTCAGGGTGCCCGGTTTTGACGTGGCGCTACAGATCGCAACGCCACAATGATCCCCTGTGGGGGCAGGTACAGGAAAAAAGAGGAGGAGTAAGAGGAGGACCATTTGGTGCTCAGGAATTATTGAGTAAATGGGTGGGTTTTTTCCTTTCAGATCGGACAGAGTGGAGGAGCATGAGCAATCTGTAGAGAGGAAGGAGATCAGAGGATCCAGACCAAAAAACCACCGTGGCAGTAGGCTGTGGAGATTGAGGCCAGGAGTCCCACGCATTCCTTGGCACAACATGGCCCAGAGCAGGCTCTGATTCTTGCGTAGCGACATGCCTAATAATAACCATCAGACATAAGGATGACTGGGTGGCTGTACAACTTGTTGGACCTCTCGCTACCGATCAAAATGGTTGCCTGTTTCACACCTGCTGAGGAGGGAGGCCCAATATAACGTACTATACAAAACCACCTAAGTAGTCATTTTGTCTCTGCCTTCGTGCGCCAACGTCCAGCCTCAGACACAGTGGCCCTGTGCGCTCTGCCGCGTGCCGCGGACCATGGCAAGCAAGGAGGGGTGTGAGGTCTTAGGAGCAGTGGGCAGCTCCACCAGCAGCGGCTGCCGCCTCATCCTGCAGTCGCATGCATGAGCTAGACTTATCTGCACCAGCCGCAGTGAGGAAACTACGAACCAGCCACAGCCACAGCATCATGGTGGACCTGGAGCAGGACCTCAAACCACAGCTTGGGCCTTCGTTGTAACAGCACACCCCTGGGCCAACCGAGGTAACAATCCCCCTTGACTAACTGGGCAACGAAACTTGACGTTTTGGCCCCAACTAGCTGATTTTGCCCGTCGTAAGGCAGTCATGCCCGTCCGTAAGCGTGGCATCGGTGCGCGTGTGTTGATGCGCAGATGTATTGTAACTCCGCGGAGGACACGACTGTTCCACCCAAAGTGTGGAGAACTCACACGAATGTGAAAATGAATCAGCGTGGATTAGTCTGGATTTGTCAAACCCCCATTCCTACACAACTGAGACTAAATCCCCATAACCCCCCCCCCATGTGCCACGTTCAGTTCTCCCTCACACGGCGGTGTCTCCATTTTGTCATTGGGTCTAGCAATGACCCTCCCAGTGCTCTGCCAGCCCGATAACCACCATCCCCTGTACCGCCTCCTCATGCCTGACAGTCAACCTGACTAAATCCGGCCATGAATCATATGGCCCCAAACATGTGCCACTTTCAGTCTCCCTCACACTGCTGGTGGGTTCCATTTTTTGGTCATAGGGTGCTGGCAGATTACGGGCCTCCCATTGCTGCTGCCACCTGGCCCGTAATCTGCCATGGCCCCTCCTTACCGCCTCCTCATCATGCTGCTGCCACAGGTCCAGAGTGTCTCATGGTCCCTGTATGGCCTCCCATTGCTGGCTGTCTCCATCGCCACACTCGGCCAGTACCACTTTCAGGTCTCCTCACTCTGCTGGTGCGTGTCCATATTTTTGTCATAGGTGCTGGCAGATTACGGGCCTCCCCTTTCTGCTTGCCAGGACCCGGGAGTCTGCCATGGGCCCCCTGTACCGCCTCCTCATCCCGGATGCCAGGTCCCACAGAGGCCCTGCATGGCCCCTGTATCGCCTCCCCATTGCTGCTGTCGCCATCGCCAACACTTCTGCCATGTGCCACGGTTCAGGTCTCCTCACCCACAGCTGGTGCTTGTTTCCAGTTTTGTGTCTTAGGGTTGGCTGGCAGATTAAGGGCCTCCCCATAGCTGCTGCCAGGCCTCTGAATCTGCCATGTGGCCCCTTAACCAGCCTCTTCATCGCTGCCAGTCCAAGTGCTCATTCCTACCCTCCTGTTCTGCTTCTCCATCCCACACTCGGCCATGTGCCACTTTCATGTCTCCGCACACATGCTGGTGGGTTCCATTTTTTGGCCATATGGTGCAGGCAGATGAACGGGCCTCCCTTTGCTGCGAGCCAGGTCCCTAATCGGCCATCCCCTACCGCCCTCTTCATGCTGCTCCAGGTCCAGAGTTGCTCATAAGTCCCTTACGGCCGCCCATTGCTGCTGTCTCACATCCACACACTCGGCCATGTGCCTCTTTCAGTCTGCCTCACACAGCTGGTGTGTTCCAGATTTTGTGTCATAGTGGTCGTGGCGATTACGGGCCTCCCCATTCGCTGCTGCCAGGCCCTACTCTGTCCCAACACCCCCATGGGCCCCTGTACCGACCGCTTCCTCATCTGCTGCCAGTCCCAGAGTGCTCCTCTCATGGGTCCCTGACGGCCCATCTCCATTGCTGCTCGTCTCCATCGCCACACACATCTGCCATGTGCCACTTCCATTCAGGTCTCCTCACACTGCTGGTGTGATTCCAATTTTTTGTCATAGGGTGCTGCGCATAGAACGGGCCTATCCTTTGCTTGCGGCCAGGCCACGTAATCTGCCAAGGGCCCCAGAAACATGAGCTTCCTCATCAGGCTGCTGCCGAGGAGTCCAGAGTGTCTTCATGGGTCCGCTGTACGGGCCTCTCCATTATCAGCTGCTAGTCTCCAATCGCCACAAAGCTCTTGCCATGTGCCACTATCCAGGTCTCCCTCACATTGCTGGTGGTGTTCCATTTGTCATTCATAGGGTGCTGGCAGAGATACGGGCCTCCCCATAGCTGCTGCCCGGCCGGTAATCTGACATGGGCCCCCGAACCAGACAACTCATGCTGCTGCGCACCAGCCCGTAATCTGTCCTATGGGCCCCTGTAGCAACGCCTCCTCATGCTACTAGCCAAGGTCCAGAAGTCTGTTCATGGGTCCCCTGTACGTCCAAAAATCCCAATTACGCTGCTATCTCTAATTCCATCACTGCCGACACTCTGGCCATGGTGCCACTATTTTAGGTCTCCTCACACACGAGCGCGCTGGTGTGTCCCATTTGTTTTTTGTCATAGGGTGCAGCTGGCAGACTATCGGGCCTCCCATGCTGCTGAGCCAGCCCCGTAATCGGCCATGGACACCACGATAACCCGCCATCCTCAAATGCTGCTAGCCTAGGTGCCAGAGATTGCTCATGGACCCCTGTGACGGCCTGTCTACCCAATGCTGTGACTTTTGGGGTTGTCTCCAGTCTCGCCACACCTCTCGCCATGTGCCACTTTCAGGTCTCCTCACACTGCCTGGATGTGCATTCCATTTTTTGTCATAGGGTAAGCTTGGCAGATTACGGGCCTCCCATAGCTGCTGCCAGGACCCTTTAAACTGCCATGGGCCCCTAGTATACCGCCTCCTCATCGCTGCTTGCCAGTTAGATCCATTAGGCTCTCATGAGTCCCTGTAACGGCCTCCCATTGCATGCTGTCTCCATCAGCGTCCACACTCTGCCATGTGCCACTTTCAGGTCTCCTCCGCCACACAGCTGGTTGGTGTTCCATTTGTTGTCATAGGGTGCTGGCAGATTACGGGCCTCCCCATAGCTGCTGCCAGGCCCCTAATCTGCCATGGGCCCCTGTACCGCCTCCTCATTCTGCTGCCATAGGGTCCCTGTACTGCCTCCCATTGCAGTGTCTCCATCTTCACACTGCCATGTGCTTCACTTTCAGGTCTACCTCACACTGCTGGTGGGTGCCATTTTTGTCATAGGGTGCTGGCAGATTACGGGCCTCCCATGGCTGCTGCCAGATGACCCTAATCTGACCATGATGGTCCCCTGTACGGCCGCCTCCCATCATGCTGCTCCAGGTTCCACAGTGACTCATAGCCATGTGCCACTTTCTCAGGTCTCCTCCACATTCTGCTGCTGTGTTCCCCGTACACTCTGCCATGAGTGCCACAATTACCCAAGTCTCTTCATGGCTGCTGGCCAGGCCCCTAATTCTTCATGGGCCCCTTGTTACCGCCTCCTCATAGCTGCTGACCATTAGGATCCCTAGTGGTGTCATGGGTCCCTGTACGAGCCCTCGCCTCCTCATTCTGGTCTGCCATCGCACACTCTGCCAAGTGCCACTTTTCAGGTCTCCTCACAACACTGCTGGTGTGTTCCATTTTTTGTCATAGGGTGCTGGCAGATTACAGGGCCTCAACCATAGCTGCTGCAGGCCCCTAATTCTGCCATGGGCCCCTGTACCCGCCTCCTCATGCTGCTGCCAGGTCCATGACATGTCTCATGGGTCCCTGTACGGCCCTCCCATTGCTGCTGTCTCCATCGCCACACTCTGCCATGTGGGCCACTTTTCAGGTCTCCTCACACACTGCTGGTGCGTTCCATTTTTTTCATAGGTGCTGGCAAGATTACGGGCCCTCCCATAAGCTGCAGACCAGGGCCCCTAATCTGCCATGGGCCCCTGTAATACCCCACGCCTTCCTCATGCTGCTAAGCCAGGATCCAGAGTCCTCTCATGGGTCCCTGTACGGCCCTCCCATTTGCTGCTGTCTCCATCGCCACAAATCTGCCATGTGCCACTTTCAGGTCCTACCTCACACTGCTGGTGGTTTCCATTTTTTGGGCTAGGCATAGGTGCTGGCAAGATTATCTGCCATGCGGGCCTCCCATACTCTGCTGCGCCAGGCCCCTAATTCTGCCATGGGCCCCTGTACCAACCGCCTCCTCATGCTGCTGCCAAAGGTCCAGAGTCTCTCATGGGTCACTGTAAACGGCCTCCCCATTGCTGCTGTCTCCATCGCGCACATACACTCTGCCATGTGCCCACTTTCAGTCTCCTCACACTGCTGGTGTGTTCCATTTTTTGTCATAGGGTGCTGGGCAGATTCACGGGCCTCCCATAGCTGCTGCCAAGGGGGCCCCGTAATCTGGCCATGGGCCCCTGTACCTTTTCTCCTCCTCATGCTGCTGCCAGGTCCCAGAGTGCTCTCATGGTATCCCTGTACGGCCTCCCCATTGCTGCTGCGTCTCCATCGCCACACTCTGCCATGTGCCACTTTCAGGTCCCTCCTCACACACTGCTGGTGTTGTTCCATTTGTCATAGGGTGCGGGCAGATTACGGGTCCTAGTCCCCATGTGCTGCTTGCCAGGCCCGTAAATCTGCCATGGGCCCCCCGTTCACCGACTCCCCTCAATGCTGCTGCCAGGACCGTAATCTGTCCACAGGGCTCATGTTGTCGCAATGTTGCCACTATTCCAGTCTGTTCACACTGCTCCTTCTCCATTTACTCCTCTGTCATGGATGCTGTCAGCGGGCCTCCCATTGCTGCTGGAAGCCCGTAATTCCAAGAGACCACAGTTGGCTCCGCACTCCTCATCTGCTGCCAGGTCCACAGTTCTCAACGGTCCCCTGTACGGCGCTCCCCAGTTGCTGCTGCGTCCCATGCGCGACACTCTGCCATGTGCCACTTTCACCGTCTCCTCACACACTGCTGGTGTGTTCCATTTTTGTGTCATATAGGGTGCTGGCAGATTACGGACTCCTCCAATTGCTGCTGCCAGGCCCCTAATCTGCCATGGGCCCCTGTACCTGCCACCCTCATGCTGCTGCCAGGTCCACTAGTGTCTCATGGGTCCCTGTACGGCCTCCCATTGCTGCTGTCTCCATCGCCACACTCTGCATGTGCCACTTTCAGGTCTCCTCACACTGCTGGTGGGTTCCATTTTTTGTGATAGGGTGCTGCAGATTACGGCCTCCCATTGCTGCTAGCCAGGCCCCTAAATTCTGCCGATGGGACCCTCATACCGACCGCCTCCTCAAGCTGCTGCAAGGTCCAGAGTCTCTCATGGGTCCCTGTAACGGGCACTCCATTGCTGCCTGTCTCCAGCGCCACACATCTCTGCCATGTGACACTTTCAGGTCTCCTCACACTGTGGGTGGGTTACCATTTTTTGATAGTTAGGGTGCTGGCTGATGACGGGACTCGCCATTGCTGCTTGCCAGGACCCCTAATCTGCCCATGGGCCCCAGTCTACCAGCACTCATCATGCTGCTGCCCAGGGTCCACAGTCTCTCTAATGGCCATTGTGCCACTTTACAGGTCTCTCCTCACACTGCTGCTGCTGTTCCATTTTTCTCATGCAGGGTGCTGGCACATTTACTGGCCTCCTACAATGCTGCTGACAGGCACCTAATCTGCTGCATGGCTGGACTGTACCGCCTCCTCATGCTGCTGCCTAGGTCCCACAGTCTCCTCATGGGACCACGGTTCGGCCTACCTCATGAAGCTGTCTCCATAAGCGACAGTCGCTCTGCCGATGTGGCCACATGTCTGGTCTCCCCTCACACACTGCTGGTGTGTTTTACATTTTTTGTCATAGGGTGCTGGGCAGATTACGGGCCTCCCATAGCTGCTGCCAGGCCCCTAATCTGCCATGGGCCCTGTACCGCCCACCTCGCCTCCTCATGCTGCTGCCAGGTCCAGAGTAGGTCATGGGTCCCTGGTACGGCCGTCCCATTGCTGCTTGTCCTCCATCGCCACACTGCTGCCATGTGCCACTTTCAGGTCTCCTCACACTGCTGGGTGGTGTTCCATTTTTTGTCATAATGGGCTGCTGGCAATTACGGGCCTCCCATTGCTGCTTGCCCAGGCCCCTAATCTGCCATGGGCCCCAGTACCACCTCCTCAATGCTGCTGCCAAGGTCCACAGTCTCTCATGGGTCCCTGTACGCCTCCCATTGCTGCTGTCTCCATCGCCACACTCTGCCATGTTGCCACTTTCAGGTCTCCCTCACACTGCTGTGGTGTGTTCCATTTTTTGTCATAGGTGTGCTTGGCAGATTACGGGCCTCCCATAGCTGCTGCCAGGCCCCTAATCTGTGCATGGGCCCCTGTTTACCGTCTCACATCATGCTGCTGCCAGGTCCAGAGGTCTCTCATTGGTCCCTGTACGGCCTCCCATTGCCTGCTGTCGTCCATCGCCACACTCCTGCCATGTGCCACTTTCAGGTCTCCTCACACACTGCTGGGTGTGTTACCATTTTTTTGTCATTAGGGTGCTGGCAGATTACGGGCCTCCCATTGCTGCTGCCCAGGCCTGTAATCTGCCATGGGCCCCCGTACCGACTCCACATACGCTGCTGCCAGGCCCGTAATCTGTCATGGGCCCCTGTTGTCGGCTTGTTGGCATATTCCTCCGCTCGTTCAGACAGTGCTCCTCTCCTGCTACTCCTCTTCATGGATTCCGTCAGCAGTCTTTCTTGGAATCCGTTTCCAAGAGGACAACAGTTTTGCGAGCACGCACCCGACGGTGCAGAGAGCTGAAAAAAACAAAAAAACTACCTCCTGTCCAAGTTGCTGCTGCCAGGCTCGTAATCTGTCAATGCGCCCCATTGTACCTGCCGTCCTCATGCTGCTGGCCAGGTCCAGAGTGTGTCATGGCCCCCGTACCGACTCACATCATGCTGCTGCCCTAGGCCCGTTTAATCTGTCAAGGCCCCTGTACTGCCTCCTCATATGCTGCTGCCAGGTCCACAGAGTAGTGTCATCGGGTCCCTGTAACGGCCCTACCCATTGCTGCTGCCAGGCCCGTAATCTGCCATGGCCCCCGTACCGACTCCTCATGCTGCTGCTGGCCATGCCCTACTCTGTCATGGGCCCCTGTACCGCCTCCTCATGCTGCTGCCAGGTCCAGAGTGTGTCATGGGTCCCTGTAGCGGCCTCCCATTGCTGCTGTCTCCTCATCGCCACACTCTGCCATGTGTCCACTTTCAGGTCTCCTCACACTGCTGGTGGTTTCCATTTTTGTCCATAGGTGCTGTATGGCCTCCCATTGCCACGCTGCCAATCACCGCCACACTGTGGCTCCACACTCTGGTTTTGGCCCCGTGACTGCCCAAATGAGTGAAGTGTGCGGTGATTCTATGATCGACGGCACTCATCTGCATGTCATACTGACTGTCCAGTATTATATCTTCTTCCCCAGCAGGACTCCAAGGGCATTTAAATTAAAGGTACAGTGTTCTTGCACTAAATTATAATAGGCTCTCTTGAAGCCTAGAAACACCCTTTTATTAAGTTAAATTCGCGGCGAATATATTTGACTCGAATCGAAATTTTTTCACGAATTGCGCCGAATCAGGTCTAATCGAATTTCTCACTTTAGAAGCCGGAGCTTGGCATTGCATGCCATTATTAAGTTTGTGGTCTACCAGAACCCCCAGATCCTTCTCCACCATTGACCCCCCCAGATCCTTCTCCACCACTGACCCCCCCAGATCCTTCTCCACCATTGATTCCCCCAGATCCTGCTCCACCATTGATTCCCCCAGATCCTTCTCCACCATTCATTCCCCCAGATCCTTCTCCACCATTCATTCCCCCTGATCCTTCTCCACCATTCATTCCCCCTGATCCTTCTCCACCATTCATTCCCCCAGATCCTTCTCCACCATTCATTCATTCCCCAGATCCTTCTCCACCATTCATTCCCCCAGATCCTTCTCCACCATTCATTCCTCCAGATCCTTCTCCACCATTCATTCCCCCAGTTGTACCCCCCTAGTATGTATGATGCATGCATATTCTTAGCCCCCAAGTGCATAACCTTACATTTATCAACATTAAACCTCATTTGCCCCATAGTCCCCCAATTACACAGAGCATTGAGGTTGGCTTGTAAGTTGGAGACATCCTGTAAGGATGTTATTCCTACGTGAATATAAATACAGATTTTGTAACATATTTACAGGAACGAGATCCCCGGAGCTCACACTCACATAAACATACCTAAGTCATATTATTTATAAACAAAAGTAAACGTTGGCATCCAAAATACACAGCTAGATAAGACAAAAACTGTGTCTGTCTTTATTTCAAGCTGCAAAGCAACAAAATGTGATAATTTTTTTGATTATGGGGGGGGGGGGGGGGGGTGATTCTTCTCTATATCCACTGTATATAGGGAGCCAGTCAATGAATTGGCCTCATTGTACCCCGTGGTGCGAGCCAAGATTGTATGTAATCTCCCTGGATACACAAGATGATATCTCTACCTTTTATTATTGGCCATAAAAATGATGAATAATGTTTCCATGTTATATGGACTCTCTCTTCCTCTTCCACACACCTGTGTCCATTACTTTTGAAATATTTTTTTATATAAATGTATCACATCACAGTTTACAGGTGTCATAGATTAAATGGAATCTACAGCATTTTCAATCACGGTAGAGAGATCTGATTGATATTAAAAGTGTATCTGAATCTTTTTTTTTTTTCAGTATATTTGGCATTGTGTATCACTGTATACAGGTTTCAGCAACAAAAGGTGGCTCAATCTTTTTAAACTGAAAGCTGACAAGTTTCATCCACATTGATTACGATTAAAGTGGTAGTAAACTGCCCCCCCAAAAAAAACAAAAAACAAAATAATGGGCCCCCTGCAGGTTTCGGTCACAATGCACCGCATACTAGTACATTATGACAGCCTTACCTGTACATGGAGCCCTCCAGGGCTGTGATGTCACGCCTTCACCTGGTTTTCCTTCCGGGTTCGCAGGCTCCTGCAGTGTGAATGGCTGGAGCTACGATGACATCAGTGGCATCCCTAGGGGGGTGCGGAGGGTGCTGGCCGCACCGGATGACACCATCATAGAGGGTGCAGGAGCAGGATGCCGGCAGTATGAATGGCTGGAGCCGCGATGACGTCAGTGGCGTCCCTAGGGGGTGCGGGCTGCACCGAGTGACAACATCACAGGGGGTGCAGGAGCAGGATGCCGGCAATATAGTAGTAAGCAAGATGTCACTTCTCACATCATTGCTTACCACATGTGAAATCTGTGAATGATCACAGAGATCACATGGTACAGGGCTATTCACAACAGCCTTGCACCATGTGACAAGCTGCGACCAATCACAGCAATCACAGATTTCTCAATGGCTGCAAGAATGTAGCTAGAGAGAAGGAGAAATGATTGATTTTACAGCCTTTATGGGTGTTAAAAGCAATTTGTGTAAAAAATTTTTTAAAGAAATTGTCATCACCCCCCCACAAGTAGTACAGTGTCACTATGATGTCACAGCCGGGTACCCACTGCGCATGCGCGAGTAGCGCTGCGCTTCATGAATGGTCCTGTAGTCTTCTGGAACCTGTCACATGTCCCAAAAGACTACAGGGAGGGAGGACACCTTCTGCTTCTGGTCGCCTAGGCGATCGGATCGGAAGTGTGAGCGGGTAGCTATCAAATTCAGGTACCCCCTTGTCTCCCAAAGGTGCCAATTCTTAATGGGGAGCAGAGAAGCAGTCCTTAAAGCGGAACTTCCCGTTTTGGGTGGAGCTCCGCTTTAAAATAAATAAATAATAATATAAAAATAAAAATGTAAAAAATGTTTTTGAAAAATTATAATTTTTGGTTATAAACTAATTTTGGGTTATTTTTTTTTTCACTAAAAAGACAACTGAATAAATTTTGGCCAAGATTTATGAAGAAAGATTATTTATTTGCAAAATTTTATAAGAAAAACTTTTTTTCAAAAATTTTGGACTTTTTTATTTATATAGCGATAAAAATAAAAATCCCAGTGGTGAATAAATACCACCAAAATAAAGTTTTATCTGTTTCAAAAAAATGCTAAAAAATTCATATGGGTACAGTGTTGCATGACCGTGCAATTGTCATTCAAAGTGTGATAGCTCAAAGCTGAAAATTGGCCTGGGCAGGAAGGGGGTGAAAGTGTCCGGACTGGAAGGGGGTGAAAGTGTCCGGACTGGAAGGGGGTGAAAGTGTCCGAACTTGAAGGGGGTGAAAGTGTCCGGACTGGAAGGGGGTGAAAGTGTCCGGACTGGAAGGGGGTGTCCGGACTGGAAGGGGGTGAAGGTGTCCGGACTTGAAGGGGGTGAAAGTGTCCGGACTTGAAGGGGGTGAAAGTGTCCGGACTTGAAGAGGGTGAAAGTGTCCGGACTTGAAGGGGCTGAAAGTGTCCGGGCTTGAAGGGGGTGAAAGTGTCCGGACTTGAAGGGGGTGAAAGTGTCCGGACTGGAAGGGGGTGAAAGTGTCCGGACTTGAAGGGGGTGAAAGTGTCTGGACTGGAAGGGGGTGAAAGTGTCCGGACTGGAAGGGGCTGAAAGTGTCCGGACTCGAAGAGGGTGAAAGTGTCCGGACTTGAAGGGGTGAAAAGTGTCCGGACTGGAAGGGGGTGAAAGTGTCCGGACTGGAAGGGGGTGAAAGTGTCCGGACTGGAAGGGGGGTTGGTGAAGTGTCCGGACTTGAAGGGGGTGAAAGTGTCCGGACTTGAAGGGGGTGAAAGTGTCCGGACTTGAAGAGGGTGAAAGTGTCCGGACTTGAAGGGGCTGAAAGTGTCCGGGCTTGAAGGGGGTGAAAGTGTCCGGACTTGAAGGGGGTGAAAGTGTCCGGACTGGAAGGGGGTGAAAGTGTCCGGACTTGAAGGGGGTGAAAGTGTCTGGACTGGAAGGGGGTGAAAGTGTCCGGACTGGAAGGGGCTGAAAGTGTCCGGACTCGAAGAGGGTGAAAGTGTCCGGACTTGAAGGGGGTGAAAGTGTCCGGACTGGAAGGGGGTGAAAGTGTCCGGACTTGAAGGGGTGAAATTGTCAGGAATGGAAGGGGGTGAAAGTGTCCTGGACTGGAAGGGGGGGAAAGTGTCCGGAGTTGAAGAGGGTGAAAGTGTCCGGGCTTGAAGGGGAGGAAAGTGTCCGGACTGGAAGTGGTTAATAATCCACCACCAGATAAATTAGATGGACTCACCAGAGCTATATGCTGCTCAAATTATAGAACAGCAGTAGCGCTTTTGCTCTGGGAGCGATGGGTAAACGGTATCCAGGTGTTAATTGTAGTAACTTTTACCCATGGCTCCCAGAGCGAAAGCGCTACTGCTGTTCTATAATTTGAGCAGCATATAGCTCTGGTGAGTCCATCTAATTTATCTGGTGGTGGATTATTCACAAATTTATGAATTCACAGAGGAGACATATATATTTTTATTATAAAAAAAAATGTAGAATTTTGAATTTTCACAAATTAATTATGGATATTTAATTATGTTGATATATGAATTCACGGAGGAGTGATATACATCTAAAAAAAAATTTTGTTTTTTGATCTGCACAAATTAATTATGGACATTTAATTATGTTGCACAGAGTGATTATGGACATTTAATAATATGGATATATATTTTATATTAGCGCATGCCTTTATTATATATTGTTTACTTTGCCAATAATAATAATTTTTGTTTGGGTTTTGCTGCTATTACATAATTTTATTGGGATATAGTGTGGTGCTTTTTCTATTTTGATTTGGAAGTGGTTAATGTTTCGGTTGTCAGCTGCAACATTATTATTATATTTTCTTCTTTTATTTTATGATTACGATTGTCTTATATCAGGGGAATCTTGTCAAATGATCCAGTCTCTTTATTTCTTTCTACAATTTAGCAATCATGCTCATGTACGGTGAGTTGTTATTATAATAATTTTTTTCAGCAGTGGTGCCCTAAAATAAAAAAATAATTTCAAGGGTTTCCCCAGAGTAAAACGTTAGAGTTTTTATACATGTATAGGAAATTAGATACATGCATTTTTTCTGTATAGGTTTCTGTTAGAATCCGTTTTGGGCTACATATGTCTTATAGCTACAAAATATTGGGAAGCAAGCTGTGTATTTGGAACCTCACTGCTACAACAACCTCATTTTTATTATATTCAACTCTAAGAAGTTTATGAAACCTCCATAAATTTAAAAAAAAAAACTTTTTTTTTTTAATTGGATAAATGTATCTATAATACTCGTCTGATGGCATTTGCACGTTGGTGGTGATATCTGCAGTAACTTTTCCCCTTCTCCTTCCATGCTGTGCCCTGCACTACCTCTCTCCTTCCTCACACGTTCCTCTGTGACAGTCGCTTTGGCCATCTCACTGTTATTTAATATCTCAGGTTTTGCAACTGGTCACGTGACGCGCTATATATATCTATATATCTATATACCTGTGCTTGCACGGTAACCCAGCTCCCTCTGCA